TTTTTACATAAAAAAATAATTTGGCCACATGGCTAAGCATAGGCACTAAGGTTAATTAAATAACTAGAATCCTCATGTTTGGCTGCGCAAATGCAAATTATAGAAAATACTAAAAAATGAATGGGCAAACCACTATGGCCCACACCATTGTTCACACATATAATTCATTATGGATTGATCATTCAAGTTGTTTTCTCCTTAATTAAGTCCTTTTGTAGTTAAATTGATGGTCAATTAGCTGTGATTTGTTAAACTATGATATGATTGAAAATTGAAGGATCAAATTAGAAAAGACAAAACAAATTGGTGGCAACTTCAAAGTTTACATGAAAAGTTCATTTTGGTCTTATATTTTTCAATTCTTTTTTTCAGTCCTTTTACCTTTGAAAGTTTTAATTTTAATATAAAACTTTATTTTTCTTACTTTTTAATCCTTGGTTTGAGAAGATCATTGGATTCTGGTTATAGAAAGTCTTGGTTTACATCAATATATCTCATGAAAATATCGATCTTGGTATTAATCGATTCAATTTCATTCTAGGAGAAATACATTGGTGTTTTTGGCCTTTTCATAGCCCGAGAATATAAATTTAAACTTGAAAAAAATTATTTTGAGTTGATTTTGTGTTTCTGTATTGATGTTTTAAGGTCATATGAGTTTATCAAAATATATATAATATTTATACTTGTTTTAAAGTAAATAAAAAGGGTTGAAAATGGGTTTCAAGAAAGCAAAAGAAAAAAATCACTTCTATGTTTTTTAACACCATTATAACTAGATTCTAGGGAGAAGTAGACAACATGCTACTAGTTTTTTTTCAAAAAAAATAAAGGATGGATCATCCACTTTTTAAAATGAAAACAAAATCAAGTTAATCAAATATATTGGCCTAGGTAATTTTTAAGCCCAATGATGTTGAGTTATCCAGGACTAAGCTCATACATCTAGGTTTTTTTATTATTATTTTTTTTCTTTTATTTTTTTTAATTTTATTTTTTAATATTGTGTTTTTTTTTAATTTTTTATTGATTTTTTTTCTTAATTTTATTAATTTTTATGATATTTTTTTAATAAAATATGATTTAATTTTTACTTAGTTTACAATTAAGATTTCAACATTTTTTCTAATATTATAATGCATTCTTTATATTATAATATTTGAAGGACAACCCTATTTATTTTATTTTTTTTAATTTTATTTGATTGTTTTTCTATGTTTATCGTTTTTTATTATCATTTTATTACATAAAACACTTACATAATCTATGTTATGAAATTAAATACATAATCTATATTACAAAATCAAATATCAATACATGTGTGCGTGTTAATTTTTCTAATTTAATCTTTAATTATTATCAACAACTTTTTTTATTGTCTTGTTAGCACAAATAATTTTTAATTTATTTAATTAAATACATATACAAGCTTTTCAATTTTCAACTAAGATCTTAATTTATTTAATTAAATACATGAACAAGCTTTTTAATTTACAATTAGGACTTTTTTATGTCAAAACATGCATTGAAAAGACTTGCATATTCGCTTGCATCCTTGCATTGAAAACACCTGCACATGTTTTTTTTTTTTTGTGTGTTGAAAAAAATATATCTAGCTGACCTGCACATGTTTTTTTTTTTGTGTGTGTTGAAAAAAATATATCTAGCTGATAATCACAGGTTAAATAACTAGTATAAATCTCAAAAGGAACACGGCTTAAGCATGTCAGTCTTATTAGAAAATATATAATAATCTCACCATTTCTCATGTCTTAATATCATTGTTGAGTTAAGAAGGAAAACACTCACAAGGAGTATTACCAGAAGCAGCAAGGTTCTTCCAATCGCTTAGCTTAGGGCTAGCTAGCTAGCCAGAATGTTGTTTAACCTTCCTTTCCAATTCATTTTTATCAGCCCCCACAACCTTGTCAATCTCCTTGCCATTCTTTATAAAGTAGAAGGTAGGAACACTGCTGATGTTCCAGCGTGCAGCAACATCTCTTGCCTCGTCTATGTCAACTTTCAAGAAAACAACTTTCAGGTACTTCGCAGCTAAGCTTGTGAAAATGGGAGCAATCATTCGACATGGTCCGCACCATGATGCAGTGAAGTACAAGATTGCAAGGCGAGAAGTTTTTGACGCAGCATTCAGTTTGGGATCTAGTTCCTTGGCAGAATGAATGCCTATAACTTGTCCTGTTTATCAAAACAAAACAAAAATTGTAAAATGACCTATAGATGCCATTGTCCTGGAAAAACCATATAACAATTCATCCTACTTCGCATATCATTGATGACAAAGTTTATCTAAAAAATTCATCAGGTGATCTCAACTCAGAAGGTTAGGAATAAGAAATATCCTAGTCTATAATGGTGGAAAACATAACAAATGGCAACCGCTTTTTCTAAATAAATATGCTCGAGCAAGCAACGGCTTTTCTATGTTAACGTATTCCATTGTTCATAGTTCTGCCCCAACAACGTTACTATGATTATTCTCTTATCCTTCACTGTACTTGAAGACCCTAAACCTATGCATGCCATGTATACGCAAGGAATGGATGCTGGCCACCCCAAACTAATGAAAGACAGATGATTTACAACACTTTAAAACATACCCAAACCAAACACAAGAAACAGAAATGATGTAAGGCGGCTCAAGAAATCTGGCAAAGAGCAAGTCAGTTTGTTGTTTCCATTCTTTTGTACAATTTAATCACTTACTTAAAAAACCCCTGATTATCCATGAATTTCTTCTTCCCGTTTACACCAATACAAACCAAACCCCTCCCCCGAAAAAATAAAAGCCCAAAATATGAGCAGGGACGTGTAATGTTTTAAAAAAGTTAGGACCAATGTAGAAGTGCTAAATCCAAGTGTTGGCTAGATAAGCACTCAGTTCTAAGAGAAATAATACCAACCTAGCATCAGCAGAGCAGTGATGAAGGGAAAGATTGTATTCCAAGGCCTAAAAGTTGTGAGGCCCATACAGTGCAACTATGTTAAATTTAGTATCATGTCATCCAAAATGAAATTTTCTCTGCTGCACTGGTTTCCTCTGTGTGTGTGTGTGCACACACAAGTGCTCATGGGAAGATGAGACAGAAAAGGAACAAAAACCCATACCTTCCTTCAGAGCAGATAAGGCTTCTCATTTCTGCATTGAATCAAGAGTACTTCAGTATACAGCAATCAAATACAAACCAAGATTTAGCAAACCATTAGAGTAAGAGAAAGCAGTGGTGGTTGTATAGCATTTCAGTGGTGGTTGTATAGCATTTCTTGCTATAATAATCACCAAACAAATTGTTTGAGCACTCGTGAGTATGTGTAGGATAAATCTAGAAATTTGAACTTGTGATATTTCTATTCAAATGCCATATTGAACAACTTAAAATACACTGCTTGCCTATCTTTTAAATCGAGAAGTTCAATCATCTTTGTCTATTAATCTTGACATTCCTACTAGCATTAGACTATCCTAAAAATTAGTATCTAGAAATAATTTCATAAAAAATTAAATAGAAAAACTTGAATAAAATATGTGACTCATATGAAGAGGGGATAGCCAGCCCTATTAAATGATTGGAGAACATTGTAGATCAATTTCAAGTTTTGCCTACCCAGTATTTATTTTTTTAAGAGTATTGTTTCATTTATGACTTTTGATTTCCAATCCTCTGAACTAACATCACTATAGCTTGACCCAAAAGCATTCAAGTGTAGCCGTGATCATTTCCACTAAGACTTTTGAACCATCATATATTGGAGCATCATGCATCATAAACAGAAACTTTTCAACAGGAGACAAGTATAGGTGACCCAAAAATACTAAATGTTTTTCCTCCCAATGAATAATAAAAAGAGCAATTATTAGTATAAAAGTAAAAAAATAAAAACACTTACTTGGGCTTCAGCTTGTTGTTTTCTCTCATGTTCAGCTTTCTTTAGCTCCCTTTCTTTTCGGAGGCGTTCATATTTTCTACGATGCTCTTCAATTTTGTGGGCATTAGGTTCAACCTGTGGATTTAATTGTACTATCAGAAAACATTTACTGTACTGAATCATGATAAACAAAGGCAATTTACCTTTTTCAGCACCAAACCAATCTCATCATCATAGTCCAACTTTGACGCCTCATGCAGGTCAGTTGCTGCTTGTTCCCATTGGCCCAACATGGCTCTGGCCATACCTCGTACTTTATACCCTTTTGCAGAGTTTGGATTGATCTAAAGAATATAATTCACCTCTGTAAGTCATCATGTTTGTCCAATGGGATACATAATATCAGACGCGTGACAACTGATTAATCTAAAATTTTAAAACTTCTGCTGCTGCCTAAACAAAATCAGTTGTAGAAGGGACCCAGCCACAGACTTACTGCTAAAGCAGCATCAGCATCACGAATTGCAGCAAGAGGTTTCTTCAGTTTTACAAAAACACTACCTGAAAAAAGTATCATAGGACACTAAGAGATTGATGAACATGGTAAGGACAGCAATTAAATGAAAATTGAACGATATATTTCAAATCAGATAACATAACCATTTTTAAAAACAAAAAGCTACCTCGTGTGGCATATAATATAGCTGAAGTTGGATTCAACATGATGGCTTCTGTTAAATGATCTATGGCTTCTTCCAGCTTACCTGGAAAATAGACAAACTTGGCAAGAAACACTATGGGAGAAATCTCAATCAGAAAAGCTAACACCAAAGGCCAACGGCATACCTTCAGAGAGTGCATCCATAGCTTTTGATTTTTCAATTTGAGCAGCATCCCGCTTTTCTTCTGTAACTTCAACTGCAGGATCTCCCATCTGTAATCACAAAACATGTGTGCTTAGCCAATGTATAAAGCCTCAGTACCAACTAAATGGAAATGGCTGAACTCAATGAACTCTTTCCATCACCTTTTGCGGAGGATGATTGTCAGGTTCCACGACATCAGTATTATCCAAGTCAATATCAGACTCAACAATTTCATCATCATCTTCAATTGGTCTTTTGGAATCAGAGTATTCCCCAGAGTCAGCCATGTCAATATCACCTTTCTCCTGCATATGAGCACCCTGTCATCATCACATAACAATTTCCATAAAGCCAATTACCTCCCATGCTACGAACCATTTTATAATTTTTTTTTAAAAGAGAACCAGCTAGGCTCAACTGTCGTTATTGAAAAGAATTCTCGACATGGAAAAATGAGGGACTCGATCTCTCTCTTGTTCCAAGCAAGTTATAACTTTATAATCCACTAGGCCAGAGTCCAAAACTCAAGAGCAATATTTCTGCCAGTAAAATAAACAGCGTAGAAAAACTTACTAGAGAAGAAAACATTCTTTCTAGAAATGAAAAACAGCGTGATATTTTAGAGTAAAAATCATAAGAACGAGATAAATCAAATGTTTCAATTACAAAATCCTTCATCTTTTCCTTTTCGAAGGATTTTAATGGAAATTTTTTTAATAACTCCATATATTATAAATACAACTCAAACTTTCATCAACAAAGAGAGTTTTATGTAATAACACTAATTAATTATATATATTAGGTTCAAGGTTGAATCTTTTCTCTCTTTTTCCCTCATTTGTTTCCATTTCAAGAAATGATCACAAGGAAACGTAAATTAGTATCGAAAACCATTCTTTAAAGTATTTCAGCAATCAAAAACTGCAATAAATGAAGTTATAGCTCATTTCCAGTGACAACAAGGTAAGTTCATATCCAATGAGACAATCACTCGTACAGAAATTTGTGCGTTCTCTGCAAACCCAGAAGCAACAGCAGGCAAAAAACCAAAACTGCATAAATAAGAAGAGAAAAGTGTGATCAAGAAACCATGCCTCACCGATTTTGTCTCTGGAGGAAATCGAGCACCTAGGCTGCGAACCCCAAAAAAACAAAAACAAAACACTAAATCATTAAACAAAAACAAGAACTATTAAGATATGTAGAGAGATCTTGGTTGGAAATTAATACCTTTGAAGATAATTCTTGAAGAAAGCAAGAGATGGGGTGTGGATAATAGAAGGGTTAGTCTTACACTGATCAATAAAGTGTTTGAGCTCAGCTACTTTAGCAGCATCCATCTGGAACATATGCCTCTCTTTCTTTGAAAACAAGCGATGCGCTTGGAACCTTGTACTAATTTTGTTGGTACATGTAAAGAGTAAATTCTAGATATGCTGGATACGCACCACGATATGTTTTTGGTGGGGGAAAACAACACATTAATCCTCTAATTATTGCTTGATTGTCGATTTAGTTCTCAATTCAAAAAACACGTATGAAAGATGTTGGGGTAAATTATAATAACTCGTCATGAAAAAGAAAATACTAATAGAATCACCTTGTGTTCGTATCAATTCAACAAATTGTAAATTGTAAGTTTTGGTCAATTTAATCCAATTAGACTAAATTGTATTCGGAATTGCTTAAGAGAATTTAAGAATAAATAAATAAAAACCTTGTGGCAATGTTTTAGAAATAAAATAAAATTAATGTTTAGGCATAAGAATTTAAAAAAATGTAAGTAAATGAAATAATTATAACAATATTGGGTCATTAATAGTTTTACAATTGTTTGAGAATTAAGAAAAATATTGAAATGCATTTATAAAAAATTTCAAAAATCTTGGCCATGAAATTTTTTCAAAAATGTTTAAGAAATACAAAAAAAGTTATAGGAATACTATAATTTCTTAAGAACTTTGAAACTGATAAAAAATTTAAACCTAAGAAATACTTTTTTAAAAAATGAAAATTCTTAGCCATTAGTATTTAAAAAAAAAAGAATTAAGAAATTAAAAAAGTTATTAAGGATTTTGAATTTTTGTTTTTCTTAAATATTTTGATGGCTGAGTGTTTTCAAAATTTTAAGAAATTGGATTTTTTTCAATCAAAAACTGCAATAAATGAAGTTATAGCTCATTTCCAGTGACAACAAGGTAAGTTCATATCCAATGAGACAATCACTCGTACAGAAATTTGTGCGTTCTCTGCAAACCCAGAAGCAACAGCAGGCAAAAAACCAAAACTGCATAAATAAGAAGAGAAAAGTGTGATCAAGAAACCATGCCTCACCGATTTTGTCTCTGGAGGAAATCGAGCACCTAGGCTGCGAACCCCAAAAAAACAAAAACAAAACACTAAATCATTAAACAAAAACAAGAACTATTAAGATATGTAGAGAGATCTTGGTTGGAAATTAATACCTTTGAAGATAATTCTTGAAGAAAGCAAGAGATGGGGTGTGGATAATAGAAGGGTTAGTCTTACACTGATCAATAAAGTGTTTGAGCTCAGCTACTTTAGCAGCATCCATCTGGAACATATGCCTCTCTTTCTTTGAAAACAAGCGATGCGCTTGGAACCTTGTACTAATTTTGTTGGTACATGTAAAGAGTAAATTCTAGATATGCTGGATACGCACCACGATATGTTTTTGGTGGGGGAAAACAACACATTAATCCTCTAATTATTGCTTGATTGTCGATTTAGTTCTCAATTCAAAAAACACGTATGAAAGATGTTGGGGTAAATTATAATAACTCGTCATGAAAATGAAAATACTAATAGAATCACCTTGTGTTCGTATCAATTCAACAAATTGTAAATTGTAAGTTTTGGTCAATTTAATCCAATTAGACTAAATTGTATTTGGAATTGCTTAAGAGAATTTAAGAATAAATAAATAAAAACCTTGTGGCAATGTTTTAGAAATAAAATAAAATTAATGTTTAGGCATAAGAATTTAAAAAAATGTAAGTAAATGAAATAATTATAACAATATTGGGTCATTAATAGTTTTACAATTGTTTGAGAATTAAGAAAAATATTGAAATGCATTTATAAAAAATTTCAAAAATCTTGGCCATGAAATTTTTTCAAAAATGTTTAAGAAATACAAAAAAAGTTATAGGAATACTATAATTTCTTAAGAACTTTGAAACTGATAAAAAATTAAAAACTAAGAAATACTTTTTTAAAAAATGAAAATTCTTAGCCATTAGTATTTAAAAAAAAAAGAATTAAGAAATTAAAAAAGTTATTAAGGATTTTGAATTTTTGTTTTTCTTAAATATTTTGATGGCTGAGTGTTTTCAAAATTTTAAGAAATTGGATTTTTTTTTCTTAAACATTTCAAGAGTTTATTTAATTTAATTTTTTTCTAATAAAGTTCTTAAAATATTAAAGATAGAGCATTTCTAAATTAAAAAAAATATTAGTATTTCATTCCATAAATATTTCAAAAAGTTTTATTTTCTAGCTAAATGAATTTTTTTTGTTTCTTAAATATTTCTTAAAAAACTAATTGATGTTTATCATATACAATTTAATTTAGTTGAAACAAATGAGGTTGAATTGATTAAACTTTATAAATATAGAGTGAATTTTGATCATACTTTTTTCACATGGGCTCATTTACTTAATTGTTTCAAGTGACTTACCCATAGGTAAAAAACACAAGGATTCTTCAAAAATAGTCTAATTGTTTTAGATAACCTGTCCGTTTAATTATCTTAGGTGACCTGCCTATTGGTAAAAATGCAAAAATATTTTAGAAATGATCAAATTGTTTCAAATAACCTACCTGTTGGTGAGAAATATGAGGATTTTTTTTGAAGTGGTCTAATTATTACAAGTGACTTGCCTATTGATGAAAAATACAATGATTTTTCAAAAATAATCTAATTATTCTAAGCGACCTGCCCGTTGATGAAAAATACGAAAAAATTTTAAAAGTTATATAATTGTTCTAGGCAACCTATCCATTGGTGAAAATACAAAAAAAAAATAGAAATGGTTAAATTGTTCCAGACAACTTGCCTATTGGTAAGAAATATGAGGATTTTTTTGAAGTGGTCTAATTGTTCCAAGCAACTTGCCCATTAGTTAAAAATATGATGATTTTTTAAAAGTTGTCTAATCATTCTAGACGACTTGTTTATTAGTGAAAAATATAAAGATTTTTTAGAAGGGGTCTAATTCTATAAAAATACTAAGATTTTTTAAAAGTGGTTCAATTGTTCCAGACGACCTACTTGTTGGTGAAAAAGTCTAAGACATTTACTTTTCAAAAATGGTTTAATTCGATGACTTGCCTATTGGTGAAAAATCAAAGGTTTTTTCAACATTAGTCTCATTATAATGAGTAACCTAATTCTCATTGATGAAAGATATGGAGTTTTTTCAGGTTGGTCTAATTTTCTTGGGCAACCTACCCGAGTGAACAACTTGAGGGTTTTTTTTTTAATTTGTCTTATTATAATGAGTGGCATTCCCAATTGAAAAATACAAAGATTTTCCAGGTTATCTAATTCTCATGGGTTGTTTGTCTTAGTCAAAAATTTCTCAAAAGTGAAAAGTTTTTAAAAACATTTTCAATTCTTGGCCATTTTGAGGTGGCTTTCCTTTTTTATAGATCCCATCAAGGATTTCTCTTATGAATTAAACACATTGTTCAATGCTTCAGAGTTAGATGATATACATGCAACTTTATCTAATTTGGAATATAGGTCTTGTTCAATTTTGAGGTGGTCTTGTTTTTTGTTTCTTAAATATTTCTTAAAATACTAATTGATTTTTATCATACAATTTAATTTAGATGAAACGAATTAGGTTACATTGACTAAACTTTATAAACATAACATAGGGTAAATTTTGATCATACTTTTTTTAACATAGGCTAATTTTCCTAATTGATACAACCACAAAGGATATTATAAGGATTTCTCAGAATATATGCGCTCTTTTTCATTTTCTCATATTTAAAAGAAACATTTTCTTTGTAATTATTTAAGAGTCCAATAATGGAATATTAACATTAACAAAATAACTAAAAGACATATGTTGGTTTTAATCTTCATATAAATAGTGGATCAAGTGATTTTATTCTTCTTTTTTCATTTTCAATTTTTTTTTCTTCCAGTCATACCCCTTTATTGTCTAATTTGAAGAAACTAGATTGATGTCCTAAACCACGCCACAAGCTGACCAAATTTTTTCTAATGTAAGAAAAATATCGCTCAAATGATGGTACGATTCTTATAGAAGTAAGAAAAATCTGAACTCTGGTCATTGACTCGATTGTATTCATTAAACTTGATGTATTTAATAATAGAATTAAAAAAACAGCAACAATAGATAAACTAGAAAAAAGAAAAAAGCAATGATTCGCTAAAAAAAACATATATGTCAACCTCATGGAAAGATATCCTCCAAATATTGTTAAAAGGTGTTCATGAGCATATGGAATAACACAACAAAAATTAAATAAGAATAAGACAACCCCATTAAAAGTAAAAAAAAAAAACCTCAATTCTTAATAAATCCAATGTTATAAAAAATAAACCTCAATTCTTAATAAATCCAATGTTGAAGGAACAAAATGAAAAAAAATCTAAAAAAAATTAAAAAATCAACTTCAGTCGACCCGTATTAATCTGTGAAATCACAACTTGTTCATGAGACTAAGATAATCCTATAAAAATAAAATTGAATAAGATACAAAGCTCATTTCTTAAACCATCTTAATGTTAAAGTGTAAAAATAAAAAGAGATTCAATTTAAAAAAGAAATGCAACGGAAGAAAAATATTCAAATCAACATTAGTTAACTTACCAAACTCATGATCTAGAAAATAAAATTATGATAACCTTATAAAAAAATAAAAAATATCATGAATCTCGATCCCTAATAAATAATATTAAAAAATAAAATTAAAAAATAACCTAAAAAACCAAAATTAACTCGGGTTGTAACTACCAAAACATTTTATGTCATCTTCACCAATTAATTAAATTTTTTTTCATGAAAAGTGCAAAAGTTTTATATATATCTCAGAATCCATGGAGGGTTCTGTATTTGTTCACTTATACTAACATTATTTAAACATCATTCTTTTACTTGTACAAAAATCTATCTGATGCAAA